CTAATCGATTGTGATGAACAACAATTAAAACCTGGATAAGATTTTTTAAAGTATTATAATCAGAAAACCATTTTGGAATATCCATTTTATGCATAGTAAGAAATTCTAATGGATAAAAACGATGATGATAACCATCAATAGCACCATTCAAAGATACATTTAAATATTGTAAACATCGACTTACATAAACATCTTCCATTCCAGGTACATACCATTGTGCACAACTTGTTTGTAAATTAGGTAACATTCGTTGAAGAGCAACTGTATTTATTACATAACCAGCACCACCACTTAAATGATTAGGTGCACCATTTTTTGGTGCAAATAAATGTCCAAATGCTAATGGTTTTTTTAGTATGATAAAGTAATTGACGTAAATTTTCCATAATAACATATGTATCATCATCAGCTATAAATAACCAATCAAAATCATATGGTTGTGGTTGTTGAATAATAAGATTAATTGCATCAAATACTTTAATACTTAATTCAATATAATTATCACTAACATCATATAAATTTAAAATAGGTAATGATATATTATTCCATTTTGTAAGATTAGTTGCTGTTAAAAATATATGTTTATCACAACGACGTGCCCATGTTTGATGAATAGTTAAAGCTCGTGTTGCTAAATTTTTACCAAAAGTTTTAATAACACAATAGATTCGTTGTTGAGTAGAAGAATTAGAGATTAATCGAATTGTAAAGAAAAAAATAAAGATGAAGTTGAATAAATACAAGGTTGTCGTCATTTTAAAAATGTATGCCGTCTGTTTTTTCTTTTGCTTCTTAATAATATGTTAGTCATATAAATGTCAACAAATTTTTTTTTACTTCGTGAAGAAACGAACGACAATTTATGAAACAAAATAGTAGTCACGTTGGCATCTATAGTATTTTCTAAAAAAAAATATATAAAGTTTCAGAGAGTTGAAAAATTGATATAAAATGGAAATCGTTTGAGTACGATTGATTGCAATTAGAAAATAAACACAAGTCAGCAGTTGAAAATCCCAAATAAAACTTTGCATATGGACAGTAGAGCTTGATCGTTCCAAGAAAACTGGAACAAGGAACCTCACAGAACTCAGAATTGTAAATGTCTTCCATGATAACTACTGTATCATTAGTGTGTTCAATTATCTTAAACTAGAGATGTCAGTCTGCAGTTGAGTCAACGATCTTGCTACACCAACAAACTCAGTGTATTGTTTGTGTTTTGATAGAATGAGACGTCCGCAATGACTAAATAGTTGATGCCTATGCGTCTAATTGAGTCATAGAGTCTTCTATATTATATCACCTTTGTATAAATTCGACATGAGTGAATTTTCCAATTATTCACTGTCTTGTATTTTAATCTTTATAACAAGTAAACAAATTACTTATTTCTAAAGAACAACTGAAAACATAATTTTTACTATTAATCCTAATTCAAATAAAATATTTTTAAAACTGACAAGATTTTCATCGCGTGTTAAAAGATATTTCTAGAGAACAAAATTGTTTTGTATACTATTGCTACATCAACAGTTTCAAAGATACTTGTTAGGAACCTGTTTTTTTGCACCTCTACGAACTGGAATCCAAACCAGATCAACTGTTCCGAGAATTTCTGAGAACAACTGGGCTCTAACAGACAGATCTACTTGTTAATAGAATGTTTCGAAACTTTCAGCTGGCAAGAATGTTTTATTCTTTTGAACTCAAAATTTCAGTTCGAAATACCATGATTCAATTTTTTTGGTGTATCCCATCTTACGAGAGAAGTCCTCCCATTGATAAATTGCTTTTGAGTCGAAACTACGAGCATAATATTAATCCAAATGAGCTATGAATATCTTGAAAAGACTTCGCATCCTTAGCTTATTGCTACAAAGATACTGCACTTTTATAGTATTTTTTAAATATAATGGTAATAGAAAAATTAATTTTCGAATTTCAACTTGAAACATTTGTAAAGAGGTAGATCTTAATTCGAATA